AATATATGAAATTACAAAATGGATTCCTGAATTAACTTAATTGCCTCAGGAGACCAGGTCTTAAACTGAAATTATGAAATATTGAGGAAAAGACCAAAATGTCCTTCTCCTTCTCATATCCTCTTCCTTCTGAAATATAATGCTTGTATGCTTCCATCACTTTCTCTGTTTCTCATTTTGGTCCTGTGGCTAAGGATTCAACATAGCTGCCACCGTCTCCTCTTCCCCCTCCGAACACATCCATCTCAAAAGGACATAGAAGCATCACTGGCACATCACATACAGTTTCGATTCCAATGGTGATTTGGGTGTCGGTGGGCAGGCAAGGAAAGAAGGCTAGAAAGAAGAAGCATAAAAAAAAAATATTTCTTCAAGAGGGAAGATTAATGTAGAGAGGATAACTCATAGAGAGGTATTATTTTTTCTATGCATCTTAATTCATCCTTCCTCTGTTCCGATATTGTGTGGGTTTTAGATTTGATAATCTTACCATGTCATATCAATTTAATATCTAGGGGACTCATGACTTTGCCAAAGAACAAATGATAATAAGAAAGAAAGCCTTTTCAATAATAAAGGAAGTTTTTTAGAGGCATGACACCACAACTTTGGATATTATATGTTGAGTCGATACTAGTATTGGAACTTCCCCCCTCATATCTAGTGATAAGAATGAAAACTTTTGCCCATGGATTGATGATTTGTCACTAGATCAAAATATTTCCAATAGGTGTGTCAAGTTTGAACAAATTGAGATGTTTGCATCTGTCAAGATAAAAGACCTGTCAATAGAAAGAACATTATATGTTTGCATCTGTCAAGTTTGAAAAGATCTGTCAAGAGAAGTTAATTATAATCACTAAAGTTAAGTTGTTATTTCCAATACTTAACTTGTTCTTTCAAATATGGAAGTTGTTATTTCTAACTGTGGAGTTGTTATTTGCAAAACTAATGAACTTATTCTTTCCAACAGTTAACTTTTATTCGTAGAAGTGAACTTGTTATTTCCAAGTGCAAAGTTATTATTTTGAATGCCTAAATTGTTAAATTGTAATTTCCAATATTGTACTTAACTCGTTTGTTCCAAAACTAAACTTGTTATTTATAGAGTTTGGTTATGTAGTTTTGTTCATTATGGCTATGTGGTTAACAGTTCTTCCCTATGAATATTGCAAAAAAGAGTTGTCAAACACATACTAGTTTTTTGTTATCATTGATAACATTGTTTTTATTTCCCATCAAGTGTTGTAACTACAGACTATGTGCATATGATGTCCCATGTGATATGCTGTGACCATGACTGCCAAGGAGAACATGAACATCAACAAAATGACATGCATGAGAAATTTGGAAGATAAGAAGTCATCATCTGCATAGAACAGAGAAGCATCATCCATTACACCAGCAAAAAGATCATCTTCATCATCTTAGTGGCCACCATTATTTTTTTGTTGAGACCCTTGCGGTGATTGAACAAGAAAGTGAAAAATTCCCACGTTCAAACTTGATTATATGTAATATCCTTTTGGGAGAGAGAAGAATATTCTGTTTGTATTACAAAAATAGTTGTTATCATAGCCATACTTGTTTTTCGTTATTAGCAATAAGAATGTTGTTATTTTTAATGTAACTATTGTTATAGCCTGTGATTTGATTTCTAATGAAATCAAGTTCCATAAAAAGTTTCTATTATTTCCACATTTTACTGCTAAAATATAACAAGTTTGGTAAGCGAAATAATAATTCTATGATTAGGTTTCTATAAAATTAAGTTTCATGAAAAGCTGTCATGATTTTCACATTTCACTGTCAAATGATAAAAGTGGTAAGCCAAATAATAAGTTTGGTAAGTGAAATTACAATTCTGTAATTGAGTTTCTATAAAATTAAGTTTCATGAAAAGCTATTATTATTAGGGGTGTTCAAGGCCGGCCCGTCCCAGTCAGCCCGTTCCGGTCTCGGTCTTATTGGGACGGGACGAATCCATCCCAAAATTTTTCGGGACAGGACAAATCGGGACGATTAGATTTGAGACTGTTTTTAATTTTTTTTTAATTTTAAGCGAAATAAAAATTTCTTTTTAATTTTTTAATTTTTTATCCTATTTATATAATATCATTTTTTTCATATTTTTTTAAGATTTGAGACTATTGTATGGAACTATGGATATATTTATTTAGAGCTTTTATATTTGTCAATGATTTGAGATTATTGATGATTAGAATTTTTGGCAAGTTTTTATTGTGTTAAAAGCTTTTGTTTAGAGTTTTTAATGACTATTATATGTAATATTTTGAGCTTTTGTTTAAAAGTGCCCAAACAAATAAAAAAGAAAATAAAAAGATGTTTTTATAAGGTTTAAGCCAAAAAAATATAATTAAAAAATCAGATTTTTTTAAAAAAATAAAAAAATAACAAAAAATAAAAAAAAACTTCGGGACGTCCCGGTCCCGTCCCGGATCTGTCTCGTCCCGACCGGGACCGGGATAATCCTGGGATGGGCCGGGACACGGGACAGATTTTCTGTCCCGTACTGTTCATTGGGACGGAACCAGGACAGGCCTGTCCCGGTCCTGATCCGTCCCGTGAACAGCCCTAATTATTATTTTCACATTTTACTGTCAAATGACAAGAGTGGTAAGCCAAATAACAAGTTTGGTAAGCAAAATAATAAGTCCATGATTGGGTTTATAATAAAACTAAGTTTTATGAAAAGTTTTTATTATTTCCGCATTTCATTGCCAAATGACAAGAGTGGTAAGCCAAATAACAAGTTTGGTAAGTGAAATAACAATTTTGTGATTGGGTTTCTTATAAAATTAAGTTTTATGAGAAGTTTCTATTATTTCCACATTTCACTGCTAAATGACAACAGTTGTAAGCCAAATAACAAGTTTGGTAAGCAAAATAACAATTCTGTGACTGAGTTTCTCATGAAATTAAGTTTTATGAAAAGTTTACATTATTTTTGCATTTCACTTCTAAATGACAAGAGTGGTAAGCCAAATAATAAGTTTGGTAAGCAAAATAACAATTTTGTGATTGAGTTTCTCATAAAATTAAGTTTCATAGAAAGTTGCTATTATTTCCATATTTTATTGCCAAATAACAAGAGTGGTAAGCCAAATAACAAGTTTGGTAAGCAAAATTACAAGTCTGTGACTGGGGTTCTCATTGACTTCAGAACATAAAATAGATTTGCATTGTTACCATTTAGAACTAATAAATATAAAATATTAACATTGCTTTGCCCATAAACAAAAAACCAACATTTCCAGATCGTTATATCATGTTGCTGCCATCATAGTAACAAGTCTACAGTTACAACACTATTAAGCAAAATTATAACAATGGTGAGCCAATAACAAAAAACTAGAGGTGTTTTGACAGCAACCAATTTTTACAAGATTCAGTGACAAGTGCATCTCAAACTAGTTGCAACCTCTTGGAGAAAAAAAGGTAACGGGAAAATAGGCATGGCATGTAGGATGCATGGAGATATAACTACAGGGGAATGGCTTGCTAGGCAGCTTCTTCAATTTCAACCTTTAAAGTCTTGTTGTCAAGCTTATATGCTTTAGATGAAAAGTTTGGATGAAAATGCAAATGCAAGAAAGATGGCAGAATTACCTAGAGCCATGCACATCGCAGGAACAAGCTTAAATTAACCCAACTAAACCCCCCACTTTTTGGTAATAAACCATTGAAGCAAATAGATGAAGCCACTAAAACCGTCACTATAATAAAATCATCATACTTGTTCCTATCATGAGCTTAGAGAAGATATGGTGTGTTGGGCAATTATTATAGAACCAAAGGAAAAAGAAGGACGAAGAGAGGGAGTTGAAGAAAAGAAGGAAAGGGAAAAAGATGGGAGAGAGGAAGAAAGAGAAAAAAGAAGTTATTTTGGTCTTTTTTATCATCATTATATATTTGCAATTTAAAACCCAGTCTCCTAAGGCAATTAAGTTAATTCAGAAACCCATTTTATAATTTCATATATTTAGGGGTCTTTTTTGCTATTTTTCCTTTTATATTCCCATTTAAGCTTGTGCTGTACAAGTTGTTTTGTCAAATTACTTACATGGTACATTTTTATTAAGAAAAAGATTAAGTTGCATCTAGCACCTTAAAATATTTTTTCAGATGCATCCAACATCCTGAAGAATTTTGTGGTGCATCCAACATCTTAAAATATGTTTTAGATACATTCAGCACCCTGAAATATTTTTTTTTTCTTTGATGTTGAATACACTGAATAATATTTTTGGGTGTTGGACACACCTAAAAAATATACTTTGAGGTACTGGATGCAACTAAAAATACTTCACGATGTTTGACACATCCAAGAAAAAAAATATTTCCAAGTGTTGGATGCATCATAAAATATTTGAAAGTATTAAATACATTCAAGAAAATATGTCAAAATGCTAGATGCTCCTTAACCTTAAAAAAATTATTCAACTCTAATAAATTCTGTGTACAAACTTTTTTTGTATGCAAAGCTGTCTTCCTCTTTATAATTCTCTTTATTTTTAAACTGAATTGAAATAACACGGTTAATCTGGTTGGATTATTTAATATGTTTGTCTTGAAAATAGATAATATTCAAGTTATTTGGTTTTTTCAGTTAAAACCAAATGCTCAACTCAATTAGTTTCCCAAAAAAAAAATATTCAATTGGAAAAAAAAATAAAATGAAACGCACAAATTCTAAAGCCAAGGTAACAAAACAAGAATTAGATTAGGGGGTGTTTAGATGACATGAAAAATGTTTTTAAAAAGTACTTTTTTGTAAATTGAGATAAACTCCTTCATGCCGTATATTATAAAATCATTTTTGAAACCAATTTCATCTAAACATCCCCTTTCATCTCAAAACATACTATGCGGGGGGAAAAGGATAAGAAAGGGTTGAAAAGGATAAACAAGAAATTCGAAGATTCATTCAAACTTTGGAAGGTAAGAAATTTAAGGCGGAGGGATGAGGGACTCCCTACAAGGCATTAATGTTATGTTTCCAATCTTGTGGAGGAAGGGGAAACGGAAGAACCGATGAGGCTGAAAGTGACGTTATGACCGGGAAAGATTATACGTTCTCACACCTATGAGAGCAAGCACAACCCCACAATTTACGGAGATTCAGAATTGGGCTTCTTTTATTTTCCCTCGTTGGTCTTTGTAAAGTCTTTCATTTGACTTCCCTAGACTTCCTGATTTCTTTATTGACTTCGCTGTGAGTTTCTCATTGGGCCTGATTCGTTTGTGATTCTGCAAGCTTTTGTCCTGAATTCGTTATTTTCTGTTTTTGCGACTTTGAATTTTCTCGTAAATTCTTTGGTTCGCTCTTTGAAATTTTGTTGAATATTCGTTTTGAAGGGGAAGCGGTGCTTGAAGTCTGGGGAAATGGGTTTGATATCTGGGCTCTTTTTCGGGATAGCACTCGGCATCGCTTTGATGTATGGATGGCAACATGTGATGAAGTACCGAAGCGCTAAGCGGATTGCGAAGGTATGATGAGTTGTTCCCGTTTCCCTCGTACGCGAATTTTTAATAGACTATTTTACTCTTTTTCCTGCTAAAACACTTTTTGCGTGAGATATATGCTGGACAGTGTTAAATGAGTGAATGAATTGATATATAATATGCATTCATTCGGCAATTGGATTTGCTAAACAGTTTGAGACGATGCTGTGTCAAATAAAGAAAATTGCTGTTCCTGGGTAAAATGCAGAAGCCCCCTCATCACAGAGCAATACATCTATTTTTTCTTTTTTTGAATTAATTAAAGGGGTGGGCACTAACCTTTACAGAGCGAGGTTGAAGCTTACATCTATCTGAATTGGTTCCTTGGAACTTATTTTCAGCTGAATTACGGTTACCAACTTTCTTCTTTTCAGGGAAGGTCGCTGTTGTGGGAAATCCAGTCCTTGGTTTTAAGCCTCTAAGAAACTCTTCTCTACACCCTACACTATTTTTATGTCAATAACTCAGTGAAAGGTTTTAGTAACGGAAGTGTAATTGTGCACTTGACCATGGGCATTATCATTTCAATTGTAATCCTTTTACTAGATAATACTTAGCTTCACTGGTTAATTCCAGAAATAATGTCATGGAGTTTTTCTATGTAGCTACTTACAATAGCTCAAATGAGACTGATGAGAAAGTTGTTGGTCAACTAAATAAATTTTTCTTGTTGAAATCAATCTTCCTCATTTTTGGATAAGAAAAGTTGCATCCAACATGTTTAATCAAAACTATTCTTTCTTGAGTGATCACGTTTAAAGGTTGAGTGGTCTTTAGAGAAGACTCTACAATAGGTAACATTGAGGTTATGGAGCATAACAACTCATATTTCTAAGCATTGATGCTCCTCAATTTTATTTAACTGCATACTGCACACATTTACATTTAGATTTCCATTGTTTGGTTTCTCCGTGCTAAATGACTTGAAAATTGACCAAAACGAAGTAGGATTGATCAAAAGACCTTAATTTGGTTGATGCCTAGCATTGCTTGAGCTTGATTGAGAAAGTCTTAATACTCAGGATCAAGGACTATAAGTTACTGGATGCTTGCAAATTGTATATAATGTTCTTGCTGAGATATTCTGGTGTGATAAATTTAAGTCATTCTAGGTTGCTTGATTTATGGTTTGCGGGGTATAGGACAATGGAATATAGTTGAAACGAAGGCTTCCTATGGGTTAAAGAAGGGGAAAGTGATAGGGAAGGCAGAGGAAAAATGCTAAGCAGTTCTGAATTGTAGTGCCCATTAAGAAATATATAACCTGCACTTATGAGGAGAAGCAAAGAAGGAGAGAAGGTTGAACATTTAGCTTGCAAGCTGTATACAAATTTTCATGAACTCCAAATACAATATATTATTTATATGACAATATCATAAAAATGCATGCATGTGTACGTGTATCGTATTCTCATACAGAGTCGCCTACAAACACTGTCTCATGGTTCCTTTATCTATTTTTGGTCCTCCATTAAGGTAACCTGAAGAAAATTTTTGGATTGTCAGCAACCTTGGTTGTTGGTCTTACTTCGTAAACCAAAAGGTGTTTCTGGTTTTGAAGTGATCATTTTTCATGGTTTTATAGATTATGAGTGTGTGATGGCTAGTAACCCTTTCAAAACTGTACAGTGGTCTGTTACATGAATATAGTATGACTGAGAAAATTTTAAACCGTCAATCTTTGCTAGGGGAACAATGTCGAGTGCAGTTGTTCTCTGTAGGATGACTTGCCATCGAATCAACATTGTGTTTGTTCATATTATCAGCCGTTCGCTTTTATCCCAAAGTAACCTGATTTCTCTTGGACTTTAATTAAGTCTGAATCCTGTTATCCAGATTCCATACTGATTTAATCACATGCATTAATTGAGGCAACATGATTTAGAAGGATTTGTATGATGATGAATATAATGGCATTGACGAGGATATCTTATCGAGCTTCTTGAATTAGTTTACATTTTAGATTTTTTCAATCTGTTGAAAAACAAATTCTCTTGTTTTAACGGCTGGTATTTATTCTTTTGCACAGGCAGTTGATATCAAACTCCTCGGATCCCTTGACAGAGATGATATAAGAAAAATCTGCGGTGATAATTCTCCTGAGTGGATATCTTTTCCTGTGTATGAACAGGTGGGAATTTCCTTCTAATAGTTTAGCTTTCAAATGAGGTGATAAATATCATGTCCCTATAGTTCCAAGGTGATAAGAGATGCCAATTCAGACTTATATTAGGAAAAGGAAACAATAGAAAATTAATGAGTTTATTTAATCAGTCTTTTTTTTAATTGTTTAATTTATCTTGAATATTTAAATTTTTTTACCCTTGTTTATCTTGAATCAAATATTTAAATATTTGATAAGAGATATTAGGAATCAACTAAGAATCCATATTGTTGTGGCCAGGATCCTGTAGATTTTAGAGATTATTTCTAGATTTTATTTAATTACTTTAATGCAGTCTCCGTTTATAAGCAGACCAACCTCCCTGAAGCTAGTTAGTCATGACTAATATATTTGCTCAATTCCTTTAGAGATTCTCGTAAGTTTTTGACTAGTGAGGAGGAGTTAAGCAAGATACTTGCCCCCCCTTTCTTATTAGATTTTCCTTCCCTTTATTTTCTCTAAACCGTTAGTGCTTTAGGAATGAGGATGATAAATGGGTATACTGTCAAATATTTATTGACATTTGGTTAGGATCGATTAACTTTGTTGAGCATATGAGCTTGTTTGAGAGTATTGAAGAGTTTGATGGGGTTGAGAGAATTCTTGCTCCATCTTTTGGGAATTGAATGCAAAGGGGGATGTTGACATACTTCCCACTTTTTTGAAGTTACTATTTCATTCATGGAGTGTGATGGATTTGAATGGTGAATCATCTGGTATTGTCCTTATTTATATTTGTAGATTATAGAATGATATGGAAAATAATTCCTTGTATTTCATTGATCAGAATATGCACATATATATACAAGTGAGAGGAGCCTTTGCATTAATGGCTCATTATGATAATATCATATCATATCAAACCCTAATCATAATTACATAATATTTACATAATATCATTTCTCTACACTCCCCCTCAAGTTGGAGCATAGATGTTAATCATGCCCAACTTGTCACACAGGTAGTCAATACAAGTCCCATTCAGAGCTTTGGTCAAAAGATTACCTAATTGATCACTAGAGTGCACATATCCAGTAGAGATGAAGTTTTCTTTAAGCTTGTCTCGGATAAAGTGACAATCGATCTCAATATGTTTGGTACGTTCATGGAACACAGAATTAGAGGCTATATGTTGGGCAGCCTTATTGTTACACCACAACTTCGCTGGCAAAGTGGTTTTGAGACCAATTTCTTTCAGTAACTGATATATCCAGACTATCTCACATACAGACTGTGCCATAGCCTGGTATTCTGCCTCTACGCTCGATCGGGATACCACGTTTTGTTTCTTGCTTTTCCAGGATACCAAATTCCTGTCCACAAAGACACAGTATCTTGTAGTAGATTGTCTCGTGGCCTTCGATCCACCATGATCTGCATCACAGAAGCACTCAATGTTTGTATGACCATGATTTTTGTACAATATCCCGCGACCTGGACATCCCTTCAAATAATGCAACATGTGCTCCAGGGCTTCCCACTATCTGACAGTTGGGGATGCCATGAACTGGCTTAGTACACTGACTGAATAAGTAATATTTGGACGAGTTACAGTGAGATAGTTTACCTTGCCAATCATTCTCCTGTACCTCTCAGGATTCTCAAATGGTTTGTTTTTTTGAGCCTCAAACATCCGTTTCTCATCATCAAGAGAGTCATCAAGCGGTATGCTCCCATCAGCATCAAGGAGTGGGTTGTGAACCATAGGAAAATTAGTCGGCGCTGCTCCCAACTTTCCAGTTTCCTTCAGTAGATCAAGAACATATTTGCGCTGTGTCAGTAATATGCCTTTCTTGCTTCTCATAACTTCAATACCTAGAAAGTATGTCATAGAGCCTAGATCCTTCATCTAAAAGTGGGAATTAAGAAAGGACTTGAGGGATGAGATGCTTGAACTATTACTGCCTGTAATCACAATGTCATCTACATACACCACCAAGAGAATCATGCCAGCTAATGTTCTTTGATAAAATACAAAATGATCGCACTTGCTTTGGCTCATGCCAAATTTCTGTACAATAGTACTGAACCGGTCAAACCATGCACGAGGACTTTGCTTCAAACCATACAAGGACCTCTTAAGGCGACATACTTTCCCACGCTCTCCCTGAGCAACAAAATCAGGTGGTTGCTCCATATAGACTTCTTCATGGAAATCACCATGCAAGAAGGCATTTTTAATGTCTAATTGATGCAGATCCCAATCATAAGTAGCAGCCAGAGAGATGAATAGACGAACAGATGAGAGCTTAGCAACAGGAGAAAAGGTTTTGAAATAGTCAATACCATAGGTTTGTGCATAACCTTTAGCCACAAGGCGAGCCTTAAGGCGGTCAAGTGGGTCGTCAGCCTTAGTTTTCGAGGTTAACACCTATTTATATGCAATGGCCTTTTTGCCTACCGGTAAATCTACCAGGGTCCATGTACCAGCCCGGTCAAGGGCCGCCATCTCCTCTTCCATAGCAGCACGCCAACCCGAGTGGGCCAAGGCTTCCCGAGTAGTTTTGGGCATAGAGATAGTATCTAGTGAAGCAACAAAGGAACTGGACACAGGAGACAAGTGGTCATAGGAAACAAAAGAGGAAATAGGATGGGCACAGGTATGTTTACCTTTGCGAAGGGCAATGGGTAAATCAAGAGAGGCATCCAGGTCTGGAACAGGAGGTGTCTCAAGGTTAGGGTCAGAGCTAGGTTCAGTGTTGCTCAACTCAGGATCCAATGGCAAAGCGGATAAGGGAGGAATAGAAGCTGGCATGGCGATAGTGATCTCCTTTAACTGTCGTGTATAAACACGATCAAGTGGCTGAACGGGTGCGTGAGCAGGTGCTTGAGACGACGGTGATGATGAAGTGACAGAGTGTATTAGAATGTCATCCTCCTCCGTAGGTGGAGCAAGTGTGGAAGAACAAGAGAAATATGGTGTGGACTCCTGAAAGGTGACATCTGCAGATATTAAGTAACGATTAAGAGTAGGTGAAAAACAGCAATAACCTTTTTGGACCCGGGAATATCCAAGGAAGACACATTTAAGAGACTTGGGGTTTAACTTCGAAATAGATGGACGTACATCCCGCACAAAACAGACACACCCAAATATTTTAGGATCAATAGGGGACAAAGGCTTAGGAGGAAAGAGGGTAGTATAAGGAGAGTTACCATCAAGAACAGAGGAAGGCATCCGATTAATAAGAAAGCACGCAGTAGAGACCGCGTCAGCCCAAAATGGTTTGGGAACCTTCATTTGAAACAAAAGTGCACATGTTACTTCAAGTAGGTGGCGATTTTTTCTTTCTACAACACCATTTTGAGCTGGTGTATCAACACAAGATGACTGATGAAGTATACCATTTTGAAGCATGTAAGATTAGAACGAAGTAGAGAGATATTCTTTAGCATTATCACTTCGTAAGGTGCGAATAGGAACATTAAACTGAGTTTTAATCTCAGCACAAAAGGGACAAAAATGGGAAAACAATTCAGAACGATGTTTCATTAAATATAACCAAGTTGTTCGGGAATAATCATCAACAAATGTAATAAAGTATTTAAAACCTGCTTTGGACTCTATAGGATAAGGACCCCAAACATCAGAATGAACTAACTCAAAAGGGGATGAAACCCGTTTATTGACACGAGACATTAAGGGAAGATGATGATGTTTGGCAAACTGACATGACTCGCAATCTAAAGACAACAAATGCTGAAATTGAGGATAAACTCTCTTAAGGGAAGATAAAGACAAACGACCCAATCGATAATAAACTTCAAAGGGAGAATGACTGCTAGTGCAAGCCATCACATGAGACACCCGGTCATCCAGGATATAGTGCCCGCCAGATTCATAACCCCTACGAATAATCCGCTTCGACAAAAGATCCTGTATCAAGCAATGAGCAGGAAAAAGTGAGACCCAACAGTTTAGTTGACGGGTAAGTTTACTGGGAGTTTAAGTTTAGGGACATTCAGCACAGATGACAAACGGATAGAAGGTGTGGGATTAACTGTGCCAGAACCAAGGACTTGAGACTGAGAACCATCAGTGATAGAAACACTTGACGGATTGGCAAAAGAATTATAAGAGGAGAAGAGATGACGGTTACCTGTCATATGATCAGTAGCCCCGGAATCTATGATCCACTTTGAGGAAGAAGAAACAAAGGCAGTAGCATTATTACTTGTTGTAGCAGCGGCACTCACAGGTGGCGTAGCAGATTTCAACTAGGCATCTCAGCGGCAGAAATCGTGACTGTGTCACTGGCATGTGTAGCCATGTGGGCAAAGTTATTGCGTTGTTGTTTATTCTGAAGTTTACGACAAGTGCGTTTTGTATGCCTCGGTTCTTTGCAGTAATAACACACCACCCTACTAGAGTCAGAAGGGGCTCCACCTTGCTTTGAACCACCACGGGTATGCCCCGGAAATTATGCTTACAGCCATGCACATTGAGGAGAAGAACCAGGCTATCAAATGAGCAAGGGAGACTAGGGCAGCCAAGACGCAGCGTTTCGCTAGTGGGCCTAAGGTGGATTCGGCCCAGTCTCTATATCACAGAACTACCCAGACACTTGAGCCTCACCGAAACTATGCTTCTACAATTGTAAGTGTAAGCCCATCAACAAAGGGGATTCGCAAACACAAACATGAGGACTGATTTCAAGGTAGCGGACTCAAAGGTGGGGAGTTCATCGTCAACTGGGTTTTCGGCCAAGCAAGGATGGCGTTCACACAGATTACCAGATATTGAGCTTAATCAACGAAGAGAGCAAGGCTTATGTTTCAAGTGTGCAGATAAGTACAGCCCTAACCACGTCTATAAGAACAAAAACCTGCAAGTCATGATTCTGGAGAGGGAAGATGAGAGGGAAGCCAACGAGGGAGAGAGGGACCGAGAAGGAGATGACATATTGGAGGGCAATGAGCACCCGATTCAAATGGAATTGTCCTTGAACTCCATCGCAGGCTTCAGA